TTGGATTCAAGGTCGACAATCTCCCCCTTTTTGATGATGACAATTCATTGTTGTGTTCGATAAATAAGAATAAAGAATATGAACAGTTCTCCCCCTATCAATGTGCATAGGTTTGAAAACAAGGTCATACATATAAGAGATTATAAATTTCCCCTTTCCTTGCATCTCTTTTAACTTTATAAGCAAAATCATATTCAAGGCAAGACAATGTATTCAATATCATTCATTTCATAAATACCAAAAATATGTATTTTATTTGATTAATGAATTCCAAGTACAGTCAAAAGATAGCATGGTATGATCACATCTACTTCATTTCACTACCCTATTCACAACTTCACAATTACATTCTCATTCACAACCTACATCAATATCATTCTTCCCCTTTGTCATGCATAAAAAAGGTGGGGGATTGTTTCAGAAATGAGGGAGTCCCGTAGCTCGAAGGTCAGCAAGGTCGTGCTTCACAAGATCAACTTCATTGGCTACTTCTTTAAGTTATTCGCGCAACGCGAGAATATGTTCCCTATTATCTTTGCCAATGCCAATTTGCTCTTTAGAAAGAGCAATATTTTCGAGAAGTAGCTCACGAAGCGATCTTTTTCGGATGGAGGGACATTGGTGGCTTCTTGTTGTTCTTCCTCATCTTCTTCTTCTTTTTCATTACCACCTACTGCAACATCTTCTTGTTATTGCTCTCCCATTACAATTTCTTTCCCCATATTTGCGGGATCACCAAATTTGGGGTTATACCAAATGTTATTTTCCGATTTTTTAAGCCCCATTCGGCCGAGCAACTCTTTGTCAAATCTGTAGAGATTGGTAAGCTCCTTTTTATCCTTCCCCTCTATTCATACTTTGTAGGCTTTGAAGATTATCGTAAGAGGCATGGCATAGAATAGGTGAGTTTTTTCTTTCTTGGCGCAGTCTTGCATGTGGTGATAGATGATGAAAACAAGGTCAAACTTCTTTCCGTTTAGGATGCACCAGATTAGAAAGGCTTCCATAAATGACACATCTGAGCGACCTCTAGATTTGGGAAGGATGGTATGGATGATGACATGATAAATGAGACGAGCTTGTACTGTTAACTGACTCGCAAATATTTTTTCAATGTTTTTAGTGGGAAAGTGGCTCATTTGTTGAACAGCTTGGAGAGGATCAAACTCTTTCCCATGATACCAGTTATAGGCAGTGAAATAGGTGATATCGCCGTGAGGAATTTTGAGAATGCAGCGAATACTGGACAGGGTAAGGTGAATGTGAGTGCCTACAACGAAGGAATCGTAAGTGTTTTGCCCTAGCACTTTCTCAAGATGAGTGTAAAATAGCCTCACTAGCTTAGGATAATAAGGGACCTTGAGGGATATAAATCCACCCAAGCCAATAGCATCAAATAATGAGAAGGTGTGTTGAATCAACTCTTCACTTTCACTACTATCAAAGAATTTTCCCTTCTCAACTATCTTATAAAGGAATTTGGTTTCATAGATTTCCTTGAACTCGGGTTCTCGGAAAAGACGCATATTTGGGGAAGGATAGGGGTCAGGAAGCTCAGGGTTTGGTGGGTTAGACCCTCTAATATCAATATCATGAGAGCTCTTAAGGCGTTTTTCTAAGTCTCTATCAATTCTAGATGGGTTCTTTCGTGAAGCCATGGGAAGTCTCTTAGTTGAGTTCTAGATGATTTTCTAGTAGATAAGAGAATTTGAGTAACATACGATAAAGATGATGTGAGGTTTATGCAATGAAAATCTGAACTAAGATGTTATGATAGAGATCAATAATCAAAGGAAATGAGTCTGATAAAGAATTGATTGATCTTGGAGAAAAGATAGGAACTTAGCTTAAATGCGAAGAGGAGAGAAAGAGAGGAGTTCGCAATCGCCTTCTGAAGATGAGAGAGAGAGGGTTTTTGAATTTTGGGGAAAAGAATAGGGTTCACGGTGTTTATTAAGTGAAAATGGGCCTTTAAATCCATGGGGCGCGCAGTATCGGTCGACCAAAGAGGATTCATCGGTCGTCCAAAATGGCTTCTGTTGGAGTTTTAACTTCCTTGTTTTGATCTGTCGAAATGCTTGTTTCAGTCGATTGAAATGAAGTTCAGTCTACTAAAATGAATGTGAAGGCAGCCTTGTGAAGGATTTGTCTCATTGAATTTCACTTTCCATTACCATTCCGATTTCTCGTCGAAGTGTGCAAAATCTATCTTCTTGTAGTGGCTTCATGAAAATATCGGCCAATTGATTTTCAGTACAAATGAACATCAATTCAATATCACCTTTTGATACGTGATCTCTTAAGAAATGATACCGAATCTCAATATGTTTTGTTTTTTAGTGTTGAATGGGATTCTTTGATATACATATGGCACTGGTGTTATCATAGTTTATAGGAATCTTGTCGAAAAATAAGCCAAAGTCTTCAAATCGTTATTTGATATACAAGATTTATGCACAATAGCTACCAGCAGCAACATATTCAGCTTCAGCAGTAGATAATGCGATTGAATTTTTTTTCTTGCATGACCAAGATACAAGGGACTGTCCTATAAAGTGACATGTGCTGCTTGTACTTTTTCTGTCAACTTTACAACCGGCAAAATCAGCATCCGTAAATCCTACAAGTTCAAAAGATGTATGCCTAGGATACCACAATCCTAAGTTAATAATGCCATTTAGATATTTAAAGATACGTTTGACAGCATTCAAGTGAGACTCTTTGGGACAAGATTGAAACCTAACATATAAACACACACTAAACATAATGTCCGGCCTACTAGCCGTTAAATATAGAAGACTCCTAATCATCCCTCTATATTTCTTAATATCAACATTCTTGCTTATCTCATCCTTATCAAGCTTTAAGGAAGGACTCATGGGAGTTTTAGCATGTTTGGTGTCCTCTGAGCCAAATTTCTTTAGCAAATCTTAAGTATACATTGATTGGGATATAAAGATTCCATCAATAGTTTGTTTGATTTACAGCCCTAAGAAGAAGTTTAGTTCACCCATCATGCTCATTTCAAACTCGTTTTGCATGGAAAAGGCAAACTCTTTGCTTGGCAAGTCATTTATTGATCCAAAAATAATATCATCAACGTAAATTTGAATGATCAACAAATTGCCATCAATGATTTTGGTAAAAAGCATATTGTCAATTTTACCTCTACCAAAACCATTTGAAAGTAGAAATCTACTAAGTCATACCAAGCTCTAGGAGCTTGTTTCAAACCATATAATGCTTTAGACAATTTATAAACATGGTTTGGACTTTCATAACTTTCAAAGCCTGGTGGTTGTTCTACATATACTTCTTCATCTATAAACCCATTTAAGAAAGCACTCTTTACATCCATTTGAAATAATGTGAAATTTTTGTGAGATGCAAATGCAAGCAAGATTCGTATAGCCTCAAGTCCAGCAACGGGAGCAAAAGTCTCCTCATAATCTATACCTTCTTCTTGATTATAGTCTTTTACAACAAGTCTAGCCTTGTTCCTAACAATAGTTTCCGACTCATCCTTTTTGTTCCTAAAATCCCATTTTGTACCAATGATTGTTTATTTTGAGGCCTAGGTACAAGATACCAAACCTTGTTTCTTTTGAATTGAATGAGTTCTTCTTGCATTGCCAAAAGCCAAGATTTATCATTTTCAGCCTCATGTATATTCTTAGGTTTGAATTGAGAAACAATGCCACAAAGTTGTATACATTTCTTAATTGTAACCTTGTAATAACACCTTTGGATGGATCACTAATAACTTGATCTAATGGATGAATAAGAACTGACTTCCATTCATTTGGAGTATTTTTATTTTGAAAGATATCATCACTTGAATTGGTATTTTGAGAGACATCAATACGAGACTCATTTATATTGAGTTCATTGATACTCTTCTCAAGCACCATGGGGGATTCATTAACATTAAGTTCATTGGTACCCTTTTCAAGCTCAATTTCTTCATCATTACCCATCTCACCTTTTATAGGAGAAGTTGGGGATTCATCAAACACAACATGTATGGATTCAACCACAATTCGATGATAATCTCCTTCTCTATCTTTTAGAGTGATCTCCCATGTGAGAAGAGTGCCAAGAAGTTCATCCAGCTCAAGTGTGTTGAGGTTGTGAGCCTCCTTAATAGCTGTGGCTTTTGCATCCCATTTTTCAGGTAAGCTTTTTAGAATTTTCCTTACAAGATCAGAGTTAGTAATAGTTCTACTAAGATGCTTTAAGCCATTTATAATGTCAGTAAATCTTACAAATATTACACTAATAGACTCATTTTCATTCATACGAAATAGTTCATATTGATACATGAGAATGTCAATTTTGGATTCCTTAACTTGTGATGTCCCTTCATAAATAATCTGAAGTTTATCCCAGATTTCTTTAGCTTTGGTACAAGTGGAAACTCTATTGTACTCACTAGGGCTTATGTCACAATTTAAATTAACTTTAGCTTTAGCATTTAGGGAAAGGAGTTTATAATCCTCGGTGTCCCATTCAACTTCAATTTTAGGGACTCTTCTGGTGTCAACAACTTTCATTGGAACAAAGGGTCCATTAACAATAACCAACCAAATTTGATAGTCTACGGATTAAAGGAAGTCTATCATTCTATTTTTCCAATAACCATAGTTTGTTCCATCGAACCAAGGAGGTTTAGAATTAGATTAACCTTCTTGGTGAAAGTGACTATTTAAGTTTGCCATGATCGTTCTCTAATACACTTAAGTCTTTTAGAGATTAGGCTCTGATACCAATTATTGCCCAAGTAATGACTCTAGAGGGGGGTGAATAGAGTCTTAACAAACAATGGTTAATTTTCGATCTCAATTGATGTGAAATTGCAAGGCTAATCTTCCTATAATAATTTAACAAAACAATTTGAAATTTAAGCTACAACTACTAGCAATTATCAGAAAAATAAACTAATTGAACTTGAAGCAATAAATATCAGAGATAAGGAAAGAGATTGCAAATAAGTACTCAGCAATTTTTACGAGGTTCGAAAACTCCTACTCCTTGGCTCAAGACCCTCCTTGAGACTTCTCAATCCACTATGGCTTCTCCTTACGGGTGGAGAGCAAACCTTTTACAAAAAAACTCTTATTTGCCTTTAATTGCTAAGAGAAACACCTTCTCGTAGTCTTCCTTGGGCCACACTAGCCCTTACAAGATTTGAAGAGAATATATAAAGTACAAGATGATCTCTCTTATATCTGAAGTACAAGTTTCAACTCACTCTAGAGTATGTATGAATAAATTAAAGCTCTTTACTCTTTGAAGATATGAAGTATGTGTATGATGATAAAAAGGTTCTAAGATTGCAAAGATATGTTTCTTAATGAATGCAATACCTTTTTATGAAGACCACAAGTCATTATATAGAGTTTCAAATAAGTCTGATATATATTCTAGCTGTTGGACACACACTTCGAGAAAAAATGGCCGTTCAATATTTGAATTCTCGCTGGTTTGATCGTCTAAAATAAAACACTATTGAGGTTCAGTCGACTGAAACTGTTTGAGGTTGGCCATCATACTTATTTCGATAGATCGAATGATTCTTTCTTTTGTTTCGGTCGACCAAAACTCCTTCCTCCTTTGTTCTAAAACATTCTGTGAGAATGGGCTCGTCCGATTCATTTGCCCTTTTTATTTCGGTCATCTGAAACTCTATGAGTAGCTTTTCATTTACTTAGTTCGGTAGACCGAAATGAGTTGGTACTGTATTTCGATAAGCAATGATCCAAACTCTTTAATAGAACCGGTCGACCATTTCAAGATATCCTTCCATTTCGGTCGACCGAAATGTAACTTAAATTTGAGGAACATGTTTTGATAATGTTTAAACTTGGTCCAATGTTCCTTAAACTTAATGAATGAGTTTCTATGCATGATTTTGAGAATGAGAGCTTCAAGATGTTCATATATACTTTAACAAATTTTCCTAAAAATCTCACCATCCTAGCTAACCCCATTTGATGAGATCTTGAAGACTTCTCTTTGAATCTTGATTCCTTTTTGTCTTTTTGTCGTATCTTCATGATGTTCCTTCATTTGAGCTTTTATATGTAATGTCTTGTCTTGATGAAGGCTTTGATCTGTAATTTAGCTCAAGGTAGACATTAGTACGCATAGAACATCATTAATGAATTATGATCGTCAAAAGCCTTTGATTCAAGGTCAACACTAATAACAAAATGCTAGTTTTCTATTTCATACTCTCTAAAATATTTACCGAGGTGTGATCAAAAATGGAGTCCCACACTTTGAGAAGCCAACAATAAAAAAACCCCAAAAAGAAACATTCAATCCACATGCCCATGCTTTGCCAGGAACTCAACTTTGTCATGCAATCGTACAATTATAGATAGAACAAAAAGGTCAAAAAAGGGCAAACACCCCACAAGTGCAAGTTCCGCGTCTACAACTTGATTACCAGGAAATTCAACTGCCAATAGAGGTTTAGACATAGAATGTAAGAAACATAAGTGTTATGCTCTTTTAAATCTCTAAGGCACATTGATAGTTTGACATCAAAGAAAAAATAACAACTTGAACAAGGAACAAATATAGTTAATAGCTGTAAAACAACAACAAATCTAAGCTCATGCTAATAATTAGTTCAAGAGGACATATTAGAGAACTCATTGGCTTCAACATAATATACTACAAGAAAAACATATTAGAAAACTTATTAGAATCATATCAACAAGTGAAAATAGAGAGAGATTTCACAAACACACATATATATATACACACTGGAATTTCTGTGTGAACATCATTGCATACATGGAAGAATTTTTGTTATACTAGCTTCAATTCATTTGGCTATGATTTTAGTGATTGTTTTCGTGTTTGGATCTGTTTGTGTTGACTTGTTTGGTTGAAGAGAAAATTTTATCAAATGAGAGAAATTTGTGTGAAAATATAGCATTGAAACTGGTTTTATCCTCATACAATTAGAGAGAGATTCCACACACATATGTATCTATACTAAAATTGCTGTGTGAATTTGCGTCATTACATATATATAGGATGGGTTTGGTAATATTACCTTCAATTCTTTTTCAGATCGATCATTCATATGATACTAAATTGGGTTCGACATCTTAAAGTTGGTCCTACTGAATCTATTGTGATCAAGTTGAAAGAAAATACTCAAAACGCAGTAGATTATTCATTTGGGTAGGAACATCCAGGTTGTCAGATTTTGGAGCAAAACAGAAAAACTAACATATCAAAATCTAACAGAGAGAGACCCCATGTCAATACCTTCTTTTTCCTTTCTCAACTTAATTTAGTGCATTCGATGTTTACTTCATATAATAATTAATTACATGAGGTTAGTTTCCTTGTGCAGTTTCATATCCTCACAATCTTAATTTCTATACCAGCTACATTCATACTGTCTTTTATTAAGTCAAAAACTCTCGTGTATCCTAATTAGTTGCGTCAAATTCAACTAGAAAAAATATTCTAGAATTCTATTGCTGAAAGTGAACTGGGAACATGATCCAATTCCCTAAAGACAAAATAAAATAGAATCAAAAACCTTTCGAACATTTTCTGAACTAAGAAAAATACATCAACCAACCCCTTTTAGCCCTTTGTTCAATGATAGCGCTACTCTATGACTAGAAGTTCCAAATTAAATTGTTCTATAGGATGATTAAATGCATACAAAAAGTTAATTTTAATTCATATACTTATTTTAGGAAAAAGAATCAAGTCCCGATCCTTGAAGTGGATCTCCAATTTTTACTATATCCATGAATCACACAACTTAGAACTTCAAGGTGTGAGCATCATACACATCTCAAAATCATGGAAAAGAAAGTATTAGATTTTTTTCAAAAATAACATAATAATAAATCTCTAAATTTTAGATATAGAGCTCAAAATTCTAGTAATAGAGGTATGAGTGCCACCAAATCCATAGAAAATACAAAGGATTAGTTGTGTATTACTTCATCCGGAATCCCAGGTGTCATAAGTTCCCATTTGTGGGTTGTGAGGATGAGTACATAACTGTTTCTGGGTCCAGAGTTGTTGTGAATGGGTGGACTCTGTAGAGACTCAAGGTGAGTGTGGACGCTAGGTTTAATGAACAAAATGCTAAAAGTGAAGGAGGCATTGCTGAGGGAAATTCCAACAGTAAAATTGTTAAGGCTGGTATTTGTTATTTTAATAATGTAAATGGGACTTTTTTCTAGCGGAGGCTCTTAAGCTAAAAAGTGCTATCAACATGGCTAGAGATTGGGGTTTACGGTAGCTTGATAAAAGGGATATTTTTCTACAACTTATGAAAATGAGTCACTCGTGTTCTATCGATGCTGCAATTTTTCAAGATACCAAGTCCTGATTGAATAGTTCAACTAGGATGATGTTCTGAGTGGGTCCCTATATGCTGTAATGGAGTGGCAGATTCATTAAAAGAAATATGTATGCATTAGGTAGGAACTAGGAAGTTGTTTTGTTTTGGGAGGAATTCCCCAGTGGTTGCTTGAGAAGGATCTATCTTATTATACTGATATGGGGTTTTGATTCTATCAATGCATTACAATTTTGCTACAAAGCAATTTACGTAACACAAAATCTATATATTTTTTTTTCCTTTTCGCCACTTTCCCAGAAACCGAGCAGATATTGAAGACAATTAAATGGAGCTAAAGGCAAAATTTCTTTTTTTAAGAAAAATGTTATCAAAGCGACCTCATAACCACCGTATTGGCATTCTTTTTTTATATTGATTTATTATGTTTTAAAATAATACTAATTCATATATATTGGATAAATTACATTAAATTTTTTATACGGATTTATTATTATTATTATTATTAGCATAAATAGGGTCATACACTTGATTTATTTATTTATTTTGTTTATACTCATGTGAAATACCTGTAAATTGTGTGAGAAACAAACTTTTTTTGTTAAGAGCTCAAGTTCTTTTGTATAGGAATCAAATGAGGTTACACAGGTTAATATATCAAACATCACTATGACTTTCCATGGTGAAGTAAGTACTATATTAAATCAAATGTTATTATTATTTATTTTTTTATTTTTTTTCATTTTTTGGTTATTAAAACATATGGGGGTAGTAATTTTCTATTCATCTCAGTGGAGCATATGTACAAGAAACACGAGTCCTCTAGGCTTTGGAGCTTAAACTCCAGGAGGGATTTGACCTAGAGGAGGTTGTTGGATCATATTGGGGTCTAGATAACAAAAATTCACATTGTGGTATTCCATTAGAGTGATGTGATGATCAAAATTGGAATGAGAGGAATGCTAAGAAACTTTTTACCTCACGTACACAACAACAACCAACAACTTCACAACAATCAACAACAAATAACAATTAACCACAACCTCCACATATGATGTTCTCATACTCCCATGTTATATCAATGCAATAAAGTAATGGCCACGGCAAGGACCCATGCTTTCAACATTAAAGTAATGGCCCCAACAAGGACCATGACTTCACATAGAGATAATTGATAAATGAACTTCATTAGTTAGTAGAATTCAGAACATACCTACCAGAGATGAAGATTGAGAACCAGAACTATGCTCCTAATCTTACTTCAAAAGTAATGGTTTTGTTCTGCTCCTAATAAGTTGGTTAAAATAGATCCTGTGAGGAAAAAAATTAAAAATGTAATGCCAACATATATAAAAAATTAAAGAAAATAAAATCAGATCATATGTTAATTACTACTTTTCACCAGCATAAAATCTTCAGTGAGATAATTAAGGGCGTTCGCAGCATGTGTTTTTTTGGCGTTCGCAGCATGTTCTTCCTTTATAAACTGAAAATAAACAATACCTATTTTTCATTAAAGTGGAAGTGATATTAATTATACAACAAATCAAACAAGAAGCACAAGAAATTTTTGATCACCACCAAGCAAGCTGGGAGTGGGTACATAAAAGGGAGGTTTGGGGCTGATGTACTATTCTTCAAAATGTCACATGAGGTCTATAATTATGGGTAAAAGTGGCAAGAAACCACACATTTTTTACTGTTTTGTTGTGATTAAAAGTGGAACAACTTTTCAAATTGTAAAAGGAAATTCAATATTATTGTGATTAAAAGTTTAACAACTATAGCAAGAAATTCAAATTGTAAAAAAAAATTAATAATAAAATAAAATAAAATTTAAAATTACAGAACATTCAAAACAAAAAAGGGTGGTTAATTTGATGATTGAATTGAAAACTATCCCATTCTATTTATTTTCCTAGAACTGTAACTAATTTAATACCATACCATCAATCCAAATATATATATATATATATATATATATATATATATATATATATATATCAAATGCATAGTTGCATAGTAGGTAAATACAGAAACAGAAGAACCCAATTCTTAAAAGGGATGATGTTGACGCCGTGGAGATACATACAAATAGAAGGTAGCCTTAGAGCTAGCTCTTAACAATTTTATAATTTCCACATATCACGCATAGGGAGTCATTTCATTTTATTCTTGTTAGCATTTGAGCCTGAGCATCTATTGTCTAAAATGGAGTTCTCATTCAAACTGCTACCAGTGGCATATGCCATAGTTATAAAATGCAATGTCATCAAATTTTGAAAGTCCACTCATCATCTTGTGCATGCAATGTAATAAAATCATCTCGGCTGCTCTGAAAAACTAATAACTTTTTAATGCTTTGTAAAACAAAATGTTGAAATCCTTTCTTCCGTAATTTGCCCAAAAAATAAGAAAGAAAAGAGTAAAAGGTCATATAGAACTTATCATTGTTTGCTTGAATTTCTTAACTCATTCATGTTTATTCTTAGGCGGACTGCATTGTTTGAAAAACTATGGAATTCTTTGGGAGATTCAATTGGATATATCAGACTTGTAGCAGTATGTAAACTGTCCCTGCAATTTAAATAAGCAGATAATTGATTTGTTTTGGGCCTCTGGCAGTACTAGATACATAGTTTATTGCAATGTGTTTAGCAACTATCCTTTTTTTTTCCCGAGTTAAACATGAGTACTGCACCTATTGTGAAGAATTTACTTAAACATGAATTATTAGTGTTCTCGCTAGCTTCTTTTTTCTTTTTCTTTTTTCTTTTTTATTTTTTTATTCTCTCCTATCGGGAGTTGATTTTTGTCTCCAGGATTTGTTGCAATCCTTGGTTAGTTCTTGGGTTTCTGGTTTAAGTCTGGAAGCTTTTGAAAAAAATTGGACAATTCACTAGTTGATTTGGAATAATTCGATCTAGGAGTATTATTTCTCATTATTTGTTCATTCGATACTCTCCAGTAATTTGTCAGAACATTTCAGAACATAAGATTTCTGTTTTAGGTCTTGTAAGAGCTTAGAGGTGCCTTTAGATCTTCATTGTTGCATTTTTTTTCCCCGTTGTTTGTTTGTTCATTATACTTGTGGAATAGGCCTATATTTAGAGGCCTTAAAATGTTTATGATGAAGGGTGGCAAACTTGAAGGTTAGTTTTACAAGGAACTGGGAATAGGAGTTGATTTTATCCATGTGTATTTGTACTATTTCTCTCAATCCTCCCAGTAAACCTTGGTTGTATTAGGTCTTGTTCTTTAGCCAAATTTATGATTTTAATTTTGTATATATGGATAACCTGATCTCTTTCTTCCATCACTTTCTTGTAGGGACGTTTTGACATTGTCTCACTACACAGGTCATTCACCCCCACAGAGGTTGAGGGATCCAAATTTAGTAGGGCTGGTTCCTTGACCATATCTTTGGCAGGCCCTGACGGCCATCTCTTAACGGGCGAACTAAGAGGACTACTTGTCGCTGCCAGTCCTGTCCAGGTAAGTTCTTTTTCCTTTCTAGAAAGGGAAAATACAAGACTATAAACCTGGTTGCTTCTCTCTCTTTCTATTTCTATAAATATAGATATAGATATATTTTCTTTTTTCTTTTCCATTGGGGAGTTAGAAGGAAGGGGTTGACTTTATTCTATTCAGACTATTTGGTTAATGAACGTGGCTGTGGATTATATTCCTAGCCAAATATTAGATAGCTGGATGTTTTCAAAATCATCTTTGGCGGTTGAATGATTTTACTCTTTTTAAGTATTCTCGAGTGACATTGGATGGAAATTCCTTACTTGTGTGATGAACCATGGTTCATCGCTTTACTGACCCTTTTCTTTTTATTTCAGTTAATCCTGGGCAGTTTTCTTCCAAGAAATCAGAATGAGCTGAAACCCAAAAAGCAGAAATTTGAGACTAAAGCAGCTACGACTACTCCAAGCTCTGCTGCTAATCGTTCTAATGTGGAGAAGCATCAAAATTCAGCAGCCCAAAATCTGAATTTTGCTTCACCTTCTACATTTGGTACAGATAACTGGGCCGGCATGCAGACCATGCAAAACCCAGGAAAGTCCACCACCGACATCAACAAATCTTTGCATGAGAAAAAATAATCTTTGATGAGTACAGGTTAGTTTCCATGATGTTGCGGATTCAACCATATCATACATGAACAATGTATCCTTTATTATGGAACCTAATCTACACTGCTTCAATTTATGGCAGGTGCGCACCAGTAATTAAAAAATCCACTATAAATTCTTTATATTTTAACTGCTACTTTTCTGAGAAGTTGTATATATGATATAACCGGCAAACCAAAGTTGGATGGTCGCCCCAAGAGTGGAGACATTGGACGAGGTGCCACAAGGGAAGCAACTGCATTTTCCATTCTCTTGGCTGTTGCTAAAGACAGACCTCGAGGTATGTACATTTATATAATGAATATGGTTTTAAGTTCATATATTACCTTTGGTTCACATCAACTCTTTCCATATTATAGGTTTTCTTTAGTTGGCGGGTGGTACTAATGTTCACACAATAAACGGGTTGAAGAAAGAGAGACTTTTCCAGAACACATCCATAGCTAATGTATATCTTGCATCATCTGTTGTACTTTTTTTTTTCCCCTCCTTTTTATCTTATCACATTTTAGCATTCTTCGTTGTATCTTTATTTCTTTTGGTTTCTAACTTTTATTTTTATTTATTTATTTTTTATTAGTAGATGAAATATTTCCTATGAATTCAATTAGTCCAAAGGATGCTTTAATTGGCAGGGTTGCTTATGGTGGCTATGCACGGAAGGTTAATCTTATATTCAATGATCATGGGCACTTACAAAAATACACTTCTAATTGCGAGTACATTTATCTTCTCTTTAAAAGACTTACTAAATTGTTCACTACTGAAATTATATACCAATAATCTTCTATTTGCCTTAGAACCGTATCAATTTGTTCTATTCCCAGATTGTTGTAAGGGTTTTAAATTCCATGGAATCCCAGCATGGACTTGCTTGCATTGAGGAATATCCGGAGCATCTTTTTACGGCACTGAAAGAAGCCCTTGCTTTGGTTGGTACTGTCAAGTGCTACAGTAAGGGTTCTATGGACTGCCTCTTTTAGCTGGATATGTTCAATTATATACAAAATGAGTTAGTCAGAGGTACTCATGAAAATCCAAGTTTTTTGCCTTTATAATCAAACTCCCTCAATCCACATATTTTCACATCTCTTCTTACAGTTGAGCACATCATTTATCATTTAACTATATCAAGGTATACTGGTACTTATTTTTTCCTTTTCTTTTACTTATAGGTTTAATAAAATATATAGGTCTTATTTCTAGGGAACTTTTTGAAAATTGACAAGCTAAAGCACTGACATCAACAAAAATTGAAATCAGCACACCTTAGATCAAAAATCAAGCAAAACTCCTCTGATTCAGAAACTTAGGTGCCTCTCTGTTGAAGCACACCTAGTGGGCTTTTTCTTGGGAAGCCAAGGAAATGAAAAACCATATAAACCAGTTAAACTCTCGCAACACGATTAGGACTGAGGAGTACTTGCAGCTCTAATCTTGATCAATCTTCTTTATCGATTGTCCTCAACTAGTAGGTATATCATTCCCATTTTCTTTTCTTATATATATACACACACGCGCGCGCGCACACACACATATGTAGTACCGTAGAAATAATGTTACACAAAGGTAAGTTCATAAGAACATACATGTGAGTAAGAGATTAATTTTCTTTTTATATATTCAATAACCTGTTACCATACTAATGCTGATATATATGAGTCACACAACAAGGACACACTTGATGCTGTGTGAGATATATAACAGTATTTTCCTCTCATTCCATACCTTTGACATAAGCAATATACAAAATAAATTCTTACATTGATGTTCATGGGCTAAAATTCATATATATATATATATATATATATATATATATATATTCATGTAACCAGTTTCATGGCCAAACCATCCCCAAACTATTGAAATTTTGGGCTTTGACAGTGTACCATAACTGGAGCTTTGTTGAAATTTGGCATGGGGTGAGGGTTTTTTCAAGTCAATGGAAGCTGGTGTGAGTTTGGTTTTCTGAATAGTGGGAATCTTTGAAATGGGGAGATGTTTGGTAGTTGGATCTGTTTTATTTTATCTTAGTAATTTTGGTTGCTTTGATAATTTTTAATTAGAATTGAAAAAGGATTTTTTTTTTATTTTATAAAGTGATAATTTAAATAATTAATAAGACTTTAGAATTTTCATGGTTTTATGTTGGATCAGTTTTGTATGTTAATATTAATAGAGGTGAGAGAAGTGAGAGCAGCCTCACCGTAACTTCATTCCATTATATCAATGTTTTACAAATAATAATAATCTTTACCACTGATGAATTAAAAATTAATGATAAATACAATTCTTCTTTTAGTTTCAGCGTTCATTTCCTTATGGTGTTAGGGTAAGTTTCCTTATGTATCAGGTTTCCTCAAGTGAAACTGGCTAAACAATTAGTTAAGGGTGGGGTGTTTACGGGCAGGAGAATGATTGGGAAATTCAAGTACCTTGACATCTAGGCTTCCAATTAATTTCCGATTCAAGCAAGGAGGATATATATATATATATATATATATATATATATATATATATATATATATATTACATGAATGCAAAAAAGAAAAAGTGAAACCCAATCAATAATGAAATGGAAAACAAAAAACCCAAATCTAGTCACAACCAAAGCAAATCCAGCAAATAAAATTGACAATAAACCAGAGAAAAAAATATGCATGTGTTACCCTAAAAATTATTTAAGAAATAGGGGTTGAAGAAAACCCTTAAAATGTTTGAGAAAGAGGGCTTGCAGATTACCTGAACAAATAGCTCTGTGTTGGTCAAGGTAGAAATTGGTTGAGATCGCCCAACTTTCCTTTCCTGTCGAACCAGAACTTCAAGCGGAGATGGAGATAGATAGGAGAGAGAACTTCGAGCGAGGTAGAGATTTCAGATTGAACTTCAAGCGGAGATGGGGTAAATGATCCAGCCTCCTCAACAGAAATAATGGAAGAAAGAAGATTAGGGCATTTTGAGAGACTGGTCAGGTGTTGTCAGCAGTTTACTCAACAGCGGTGGAGGCGCTCGTGGGAACGAAATGAAGAGCAGTGTTTGTGTAAATGGTGACATGGAAATTAAATAGGACTAGCAAATTTTGGCTGACTATTGGATTTTTGGGCGCGCGGGAGATGAAAACTGTGGGCGGGATTTTTATTTTTATTTTTTATAATACTCCCTTAAAAATATATTTAATTAACGAGTGTCTTTTCTCCCGTTAAAGTTGAATCAATCTTTGGTAAATATATATAAACATTAACGGATTCTTTAAACTCCCGTGAAAACAATTTTTGACGAGGATTCTATTAACATCCTGTGAAAACGTGACTCTTTATGTGTAAAATGTAGCTTTTACTAGAGAAAATAAAAGATCCCGTAAATACTACCTCGTAAAAACCCACTTTTCTTGTAGTGCACTTAAGTCGCAGGCTCACCCCGACGGAGCGAAACTATCCTCCAATTGAAAAAACATGCCTCGCGCTTGTCTTCGCCTCTAAGAAATTGAGGCATTATTTCTTGGCTCATACAATACATCTTATTGCAAGAGTTGATCCTCTCAAATATGTCATGTCTAAACCGGTCCTTTCCGGACGCTTGGCGAGGTGGTCAATTTTATTCAATGAGTTTGAAATTGTTTATGTGCCACGAAAAGCAGTGAAAGGACATGTCTTAGCAGATTTCTTAGTTGACCATCCTATTCCAGCCGATTGGGAAATTTCTGAAGATTTTCTTAATGAAGAAGTCTTCCTTATGGACATCCTCCCTCCATGGATGATGTTTTTCGATGGGGCAGCACGATCAGACGGGCCGGAATAAGTGTAGTTTTTGTCTCTCCAAAAAGACATGTTACTCCATACTCTTTTGCACTCGCTGAAAACTGCTCAAATAATGTATCTGAATATCAAGCCTTAATTATCAGCCTTCAAATGGTGAATGAGATGAAGATCATGGATCTCAAAATATATGGAGACTCTAAGTTGGTGATCAACCAACTTCTTAAAGAATATAAGGTTAAGAAAAATGATCTAGTGCCGTATCAGCATTATGCCTCTCATTTGTTGGAACGATATGATAGCGTCTTGCTAGAGCACATTCCGAGGAAAAAAAATAGGATAGCTGATGCTTTGGCAAATTTAGCTACAACATTGGTTGTAACTAATGATGACCTAATTGATGTTCCTGTATGTCAACGATGGGTCTTGCCACAGTTCCTGAAAGATAAATTTGAAGAAAGTATTTCGGTTTCTTGTTGGACACAAGAGGAAGAAGACTGGAGACTCCCTATCATTGATTATCTGGAACATGGAAAGTTTCCCGAAGACCTAGCTACAAAACTAAAATACGAAGACGAGCACCTCGTTTCATCTATTACAATGATACGTTATATATACGTTCATATGAGGGCATTTTCCTTAGCTACCTTGGAAATGACGAAGTAGTGCTACCCGAGCGTGCGCACAAAATAATGCACAACACTTTGAGTTTGAAAATTAATGTCAAGTGGGCACCATAATTTAAATTTATAAACCGCTTAACACCTATACTATGTAGTATGAGTGAGAAGGGATCATCCCAAGGGATTGAGAGTCGTACTAGGTTGAGGAATCAAGATTAGGGTTAGTAGGTCGAGTGATCAAAATAGTGGTTAATTGGTGGAATTAAACTAAGAAGCAACTTCAACTAAAGTAAACAATAATGCAATAAAGAGAATGAAAGAGAGAGAGATCTTGGGGTTTAGAGATCACCACCAAGCATAGCTTTTCTACACCTTTAATGAATGATTAATGAGGGGAAAAAACATGTATTGCAACAAGGTGTGTGTGTGTGGTTGTTCCAACAAGCATGGATAACAAATTAAGCATATATTGTCTAAACAACATATCAAATTAAGCCATTAATCCCTTATTTAAGCTCACAATCCAAACACATCACAAGGTTAGAGAAATATGTTACTTGTTTTCATAAGTATGGAACATCAACAACAAGCATGGATTGTCCTCCCATTTAACATCTAAACTACAACTACACTACAATTAAGCTAATGACATGAAATTAAACTAATTAAACTAAGGGAGAGGTACAATCCATCAAGAAATGAGTATGAACCATCAAATAAACCACAAGAACATTCCATAAAACATTATGTCTTGACAATCTCTAGATCTATAGCATCAATACACATAGAGATGCATCAATAACACAAGAAATAGAGACAAACACATGAACATCTATTCTAGCATATATAGACATATGGATAGAATGAAATGATCAATTGGAAGCATTAAACCATATAAATCATTGAATAAACAAGATCTATATATATGAAAGTGTCAACATGTATCACAATACAAATTCCCTCAAAAATACATAAATCAAGAAGTAGAAAGCATGGTTGGGGCTAACTCTAGCCCCAAAAGGATGTCTAGCCACTCATGGATGATGTCTTCCAACCCTCAAGGGCAAACTCCATAGAAGAAATATGCTCCTTGGTTGATGAAGAGTCTCCAATGGTGTCTCTAGCCTCCTCCTCTCCTTTGCTTCCTCACTAAGTATTCTCTTCTCTAAGTATGTGTATATGTGTAAAAGTGGCTCATATTCCTTATATAGGTAGGTTAAAAATCACCCCCAATGAGCTGGGCTCGTACACCAATAATCCTCTAATGATTGGATATAAGACAACTTTTAATGAGCTGGAATTTGGATTTTTCTCTGGATTTGGGAAGTTCGATCGATCGAACTTGAGGTGAGATCGATCGAACATGGCTGAGATCTATCGAATTGAAGCTGGATCGATCCTCAATGGTGGCGCCTTTTTGGATAAAAACAAATCTGAGATATTTTGAAGATATTTTTAGAAAAAGGACAAAAGTGGTTTGGTAGGGTGGTACAGCTGGATAAGATCTGGCATGTGGATAAGGACAAGAAAGTTCGATCGATCAGAGAATGATGTTGGATCGATCGAACTTTTGGGATCTCTGAAGATGATATCATGGCTTGGATCTATCTTGGAGTGCTAAGATCGTTGAAAGTTAGATCGATTGAACTTTTCTTGAGATCGATCGAAGTTGCTGAAATTCCACCATTTGCTTCCTTTTGCTCTACTTTGCTCCTTTCTTTGATTCATCCCAGAATTGCATCAATTATGCTCTTATTTAGCTGAGTTAGCTTATTTTGGGGATAAGTACCTGAAAATGGAAATAACACAAAATCAATCTAAAGCGGAAAAATAAGATAGATAAATGTTCTAGAATACCTAAGCTTAAGGGGTTTAAATACGCACTTTTCAGTGTTCATCACGAAGCAACCCATGTAATGAAGGAGGCACATTCTGGGATTTGTGGAGCCCATTAATCTGGTTCAAAACTTCACTTTCGCGTCAAAAGAATGGGTTATAATTAGCTCACCATGGTCAAAGATTGATTGGAGTATGCAAAAAGGTGTCAAACCTATCAGTTCTATGCTAACTTCATACATCATCCACCAAAGCCATTACACCCTACTGTGACGTCATGGCCATTCGATGCATGGGGATCGATTAGATGTACTTAGTCCTTTAGAAAAGTTTTCAAAAGGCCACTTGTATATCTTGGCTACTACTGATTATTTTTCTAAATGGGTGGAAGCTGCACCCTATAAACATGTGAAAAAAGAAATCGTTGTTGATTTCATCAAGTCTAACCTTATTTATCGATATGGGTCCCTCGATACATCATCACTGATAATGGGATAAATTTCAAAAACAGTTGGGTAACTGACCTTTGTGAGAAGTTTGGCTTCAAACAACGTAAATCCTCCATGTACAACGCCCCTGCTAATGGTCTCGCGAAAGCATTAAGTAAAACTCTTTGTGCGTTACTGAAGAAAGTAGTTAACCAGACAAAGAGAGATTGGCATGAGTGAATGGAAGAAACATTATGGGTATACCGCACTGCGCATCGTACATCTACTCAAACAACTCCGTATTCTCTTGTCTATGTCGTAGAAGCGGTTCTTCCATTGGAACAACAGATCCCTTCATTAAGGATTGCCATACAAGAAGGCCTTATAGGTGAAGAAAATGACATCTTACGTCTTCAAGAACTGGAAGCATTAGATGGGAAGAGATTAGAAGCTCAACAACAACTAGAGTATTATCAAGCTCGACTTTCTAAAACGTTCAATAAGAAAGTTCGACCTCGGTCATTTAAAGTTCGAGGCTTAGTATTAGCTGTTCGTAGACCAATTATCATGAATCATCGTAAAGGAAATAAATTTGTATCCAAATGGGATGGACCATATGTTGTTTGTCACAGCCAAGGTTTTTCAACCCGGTGTGTCAATGATGAACCGAAAGTTAATCCAATAACGAATCCGAAATACGGAAGCAAATGATAAACCAAGGTCTTAAGAGATAGGAATCACTCCTAAGACACAAATGTGACCTTTCATGAATTCGCGGGACCTAAAGAGAGCAAAAGCGGAAACAAAGGTCAAAAGGACAAAATTCGTTATCCAAGGGGCAAAATAGTCAATTCACAATTAAAGAGAGAAACTTGAATCTAAACAAGTCAAACAAGGTGAATACAACCTAATCTAATCATTTTAAGACATTCTAAGAGGTTTTAAGAACATTGGTTAAGAATCCCACAAATTGCCCTTTCCCGGTTGAAGTGAAAACTGACACTACTTCACTAAAATATGAATAACTTCCACTGTGTTTAGAATCTGAGAATGGCATAGGTACCATTGGAAATATGACTTAAAATACTTGAGTTTAGGCTCAAGAATCACCCAATTTGGATAAGGAACGAAGAAGTTATGGCCTCTCGAAGTTGGACCATCAGTGCTGAATTGAAATCTGGAAGTGCTGGTGCACAGGGGCTGTTTCGGTCGACCGAAATTGGTCACAAAAGGGATCGGTCAACCGACTTAGAGTTTCGATCGACCAAAGCTCATAGAAGGTTTTCTGAAGGATGGTTTTTACTGTTCATTTAGTCACAAAAAGGGTTCGGTCGACCGACTTAGAGTTTCGGTCGACCGAAACTCCTCAAAATGCTGCTGAAAGCTCCTCCAAACATGTGAAATTGTAATGGAACCTATAGGATTCATTCTACCCACATGCATAGATCAAAAATTGATTCATTTTAAGGAAGATTGAACATAAGAACATGTTAATTACAAGAGTTTCATGTGGCAAACCTCCAAGATGGTTAAAATACATATTTAAAGAAAAGTTTGATACCAAAAGAGTATAAGTACAAAATTAATCATGCTTGGCCCTTGGCCTTCATACACACATGCTTATAATGTCAAAAGTGAATACTTAAGTATTATTACAT